GTAATTCTGCACTGCCATTAAGGGGGACCTAAATGTGTTCAGAAGAGAACTGGAGTAGCCTGGAGAACTACAAGTACTGGGGAAAAACAGATTTCCACTGTGAACAAAATTCCCCCTGTCCAGTGCATTTTCTTCTCCAAGTCAAGGAGAGTTAAATAAACACACACAGAAATAAAGAAAAACAGAAATACAGCTTGGCAACAAAATTTTCTGCCACTTAGATACCTTAACAGAGTAAATTTTAGAAATATAATTCTATAATTCTATTTTCTTTATAATGTACATTACTACTCTTAAACACAAGACACTGCTGCTCCTGTAAGGACTCTTGTTTTAGACTACCCCAGGGTCTGATCAGGCTAAAGACTGAAAAATCACATTGGAAGGACGAGAAACAAGGACTCCACTAGTCCAGTGCAGCAATCAATGATGAAACTGAATTTTGGAACTTTTCCAGGGATGCACTTCAATGATCCATGCACAAAAAAGGGTGTGGAATGTATATCAGGCATTTATAAAAATCCACAGAATGCTTCCATTCTATTTTTTTTTCCAGGCACAAAACGCTTATCATAAACCTTGCCTTCCATGACATCTAACATTTTCTTCTTGACATTTTAAAACCAGAATTGGTAACAGCAGGCATGGTGGGAATTAACTGTACCAAGGATCTAAAGGAGACATTATAGAAAAGTGTGGTATGGTATAAGGATGTTACACAGCCTTGCTATACTGCTAAGATAGTGGCAAACAACATCTCACCCTAAACACAGAGACACTTCTTTCAGATAAATTATGCAAATTTAATTACAGTTTTAGCTGCATTTCTCTTGTGATTGCCTGGTCGAGTCAATCCTTGAAACAGAATCCTTCTAAATAAATGCACTGTTGCTAAATGCATTTGCTATGGCAGAAATCTGAAAATATTTAAAAATTAATCTTCCTCAGAGTCCTGCTAGCTTAGAGTTACTGGCTCTGGGAAGAGCTACAGAAGAGCCTGGGGTCTGTGCCCTCAGCTGAAGGTAGGGATGAAAGAGCCATTGACTCTTGAAAGAACCAGTGTAATTTTTAGGATGGAAGCACCAAACCTCAGTGATGGACTTTGCAATCTGTCTATTCCTAGAGAAACACTAGATATACTAGATAGAGAGTGGAACCTCCAGGCTGCTGTTTTCCAAAGGTTGTGCTTATGTCACAGTGTGTCCATCAGTTTCCTTTGAGAATTAAAGCCCTGGGAAACCAAAAACTGAGGTAGAAATAAAAGTCAAGGCATTAAGTTTCTTTAAGGATTATTAATATAATTTGGAATTTCTGTAATGGACTCAAAATATTTATCAAGCCATGTAATCTGAGGCTGCACTGAATTACCTCCCTGAGATAAATGCAGATGATACATAGGAAAAAAACACACTTTTGTTCAGGCTAATAAAAAAATTATACGCTCTAATAATTGAGAAAATTCTTATCATATGGAATATGAGAAAAGAATGTGGCTGATTATATCTCAAATTCCAGTGGGAAAACTGCCAAGAAAGTCTTAACAGCAATAAATGTATTGACCATTCCATTTGTGTAACAGGAATGGAACTCCAGCTGAGCATCTGGGTTTTCAGTTTGTGGTGGAAAGAAAATGAGAAAACTCCACCCATTTAGGACTGAGGAACAGAAAGAACACAGGTAAAATATCTGAAATGCTTTGTGAAGGTAAAATATCTCAGATGTTTTGACATCTTTAATTCAGGTCCCTGCTTTATTCAGTGAGCAGGGATGTCACCCAAGGTTTGTCTCTAAGATGAACCTGGAGGTTACCCACCATTTTAAAGACTTAAAAATAATTTTTAGATTGATAAATTTAGTTTAGCTTAATCCTAACCTATGACAACAATTATTTTTTCCTTCACTGGAAAAAAGCTAATTTCTTCTACCTCTAATTCTCTCCTTTCAACCACGAAGCCAAAAATACCAGGAGCATCTAGATATCTGGAGACGGCCTCCCACATAAAAAAAATAACTTGGCAGAGTGGAGTTTCAGAGGCTTTTGTGACATTTATTCTAAGTCAGGGTCCCTGTGTGGCCAACAAGAACAGAACAATTCTTTGAGAAGTTAATTTACTAAGATGGGAGTCTAAGACAGGAAAAGAGAAAAGTGTCTGTGTCTATTGAATATTGAGAAAATCTGCACACCAATATTGTGTTAGATATGTATCATTTGGAAATCTAAAGATAGAGGAATCTCAATTCTTTATATAGTTTATTAATGTTTTTTTGTTCTTGCTGTGATAGGCTCTGGGAACCTACTCTGGGAACTCTAGAAGGTGCTCTAGAAATAAGGAGCAGATGCTTTTTCTCCTACATATTGGATGGCTGGGTACAAAATAAAAGAAGGGTACAAATAAATAGGAATAGTAAATGGAGGAAATTTAAAAAAAAATAGGTTTGATCTGTATATATGACAATACCCACAAACTAGATCTAGTTTACTGCATTGAAATATTTTTGTAGGCAACAAAACAAAGAAAATACAGAAGAAACTGCAAATGTTTATTGATCACTTTCCCATAACAAAACTAAAGATGTTGAAGATTAACAGGTTAAATTCATCACCAGGCACTGAAGGAGTCATGGTCAAAATCTGAAAACTGGGTGAAAGATGAATGTCAGGAGACAAAGAGGGGCTCTACATATCTGAAAAATGGAAACAGTAGCTTATGACTAATGAGATGGAGCTGGCATGAAAATTTAAAGACAAGGAATTGTATTCTTATTAGCAATGCCAGGCATAAAGAGTCCCTATAAATGCCTAAGACTTAATGGGATTTGCTAGAGAAGTAAGGTTTGATAATCAGCCAATTTGCAGGTGATACAAACCTGAAAGGAGGGGCTCCTACAGCAGGTGGTTGAGCTGCTGTTCATAGGGACCTCAACAGGCTGGAGGAATGATCTTTAGAGGTCCCTTCCAACCTGAGATGTTCTGTGATTCTATGAAAATAAACTATGGGAACAACTTATGAGGTGTCATGACAGAATATTCGCAGAAATGTTGTTGGGGATAGGTTGTTGTTCTGAATAATTTTCTCGGGTTTATAGGCAGCTCTTACACTTGAGTGGGGAGCTGATTCACAGGGTCTCAGTGTACGTTAGGCAGAGAGATGACTGACAAACATAACAGGATATATTCTTTACCTTATGATCCATTGCTCACTGATCTCATGCGTAGAGCTTTTCATTAGTAATGGTTGTAATGATTATGCTAATAACACTTGTTTTCTCATACAGCAATTAGAGGTTCCCACTGTAATGCGTTGAACTGTTGTATCTGTCAACAAATAAAACAAAGTCTCACTTTGTTCCTCTCCAGTGTAAGCAACATAAAAATCACACAACCTTAGAACAGTTTTGGTTGCACAGGATCTCTGAAGCTCATCTGGTCCAACACCATGTTCAGCCTCAAGTCTGTATTGTAAAAGAGTCAATCTTTGCCTCATCCCTTTCCAACACTGTAGCCCTCTGCTGGGCTTACTCTGCTGAAGCCTTTCTTGTACTGGGGACTCTAAAACTGGGCACAGCAGACCCAACAACATTTCAGGATTGCTCAAAAGTGGGCTTAATCACTATTTTCAGTTCGTGCACCATGCAGTGGCCAATCCAGTGCAGTTCATTGTTCATGGTGACTCTTGCACAACTTCTCATAGAACCATTTACATTGGGATAGACCTCTCATCCCTGCCCATGGTGGGAGGCTTGGAAGTAAATGATCTCTAATGTCTCTTCCAACCCAAACCACTCTATGATCAAGTCCAGCCCCTAATGTATTTTTGTTGAGTTGCTCCCTTGACAATTGGTGTCTCTCAATTGCTTGCTTTCAGACCTTTTCTGTCAAATCACAGCTCCAGCTTTCTGAGATTCATCTGAATGATAGCCTTTTTATCCAGCATGTGGACTGCTCCCTGCAGTTTGGTGTCAGCCCCAAACTTGCTGACGGTGTGTTTCTCTCCACATAATTACAAACCATCAACCACCCCACAGTCATTTCATCTGGCAGAGCCAGGGTGCTGCTTTCCCAGGTGTGGAAAAGCTAAGGCCTGTTCTGAAGGCACAACATGAGCTCTCAGGGAGGAGCTGAGTAACTAGGAAGAGGGGAGATCTGAATTTAAATAGAAAAACAGCAACATTTGATATAAAAGCAGAAAATGACAGCTGCTCTGGTCAGCAATTACTGGAGATTGAACATGGACACAAGCAGTCAGTGCACACACAAAAGCCCTTCTGATCTGGCAGTGTTCCCATCCATCCCATCTCACCCCATGTACCCAGAAATGCAAGAACAAATACGTGTTTTAATGTTAGTGCACATGGTAATCTTTCAATCCTTATCCAATATTGATTAAAAATATAAATTACAGAATTGTCTTCTTTTTTGGCTTTTACACTATAGGACCAATATAAAGAAGCCACAGAATGAACAGGAACTTGGCCCAAGGTTTTTTAAACTCCCATGGAAAAAAATCAATGGGCAAGATTCCATCTTGGTTACAACAATGTCAGTCTGGAGGCATTGTTTAATAATAGTAATAATAATAATAATAATAATAATAATAATAGTAATAAACAACTCAGTAGCTAACTAGCTGAGTTTATTTGCATTGCTGGAGATTAGGATCAAATGTTACTACAACTGGATGTGTCAATCATTAGCAGAGAGCGTTGTACCTGGCCTCCCCACTGACTGCAAATTTCAAATTTAAGATGTAATACATCCAAAAATAATTTCAGAGTATTCCACCTATTCCAGTACAAGAAGTAAGAGGAAATTAAAACTAAAGACAAGCAAACAACCTCCTTTTTGGATGAATTTAAGCTTGAAAAATATGCTGTTCTATCTGGTCACTAAGTGAATTTTGTAATACCTGTGACGTTGAATCACCTGTCCTATCAGGAAACAGGAGAGCTATAAATCATCCTCCAGTAAAGAATTCCAGCCAATTACACAACTACCTGATGAAGGACAGAAGAAACTTCTGATCCTGGTGGAAACAAAAGGTAAGATTCGCCTTGATTCATTGGCTTAAATTATTGTGATTTTTTTTCATGCATTGAAATACAACCTATCATCAGAAGACTTCTTGAAAAATTTAGGACAGTCACAGAAGAAGATTTTTTTCAGTGAAAAATAAGGATTAAATATGGAATAGTGTAACACAAGCTAAAACAAAAAGGTAGAGAAAATGGATGAACAATCAAAAATACCAGAAAATCCACCTGTATCAAGAAAGCAGCATCTTAGTAAATTATTTGTACGTAGAGAAAGGGACAGAGAGATAGTCAAACATATTGAATAGTATATACATTCAGCTTAGTAAGTTCTATTGGTTCATGTTTCTATCACCACCTATTTTCAGAGTGGGAAAATTATCACCTTGCTTAATTGACTCCTCTTCTGCAAAGTGGCTGCTAAGTAACCTTTGTGCAGTAACGCTGTACAAGTGCAATGACAGAAACTTTATTCTATTTCAGGTTTTTTTCAAGGATAACAAAAAAATAATTGGGATTTTTTTTTTTTGTAATGGTTATCCAATTAAATGAATAATTCAGGATACACCTTTTTATTTTTTATTTTAGAAGGAGACACGGGAAAAATATATTCTTATGAGTTTGCCAAACTCATACAAACTAGGGATGCTAAAGCACCATCTTTCAGTGGCAGATCCCGGTATACAGATGGATTTGCAGGAAAGTCAGTAAGACTTGGCACATGTCCTGATTTATGTTTGATTGAGGGGGAGCAGGGAGGGGGAGAGAGAGACTGATTTTAGGACCGGTGCCTAGAAATTAATGCAGAGCAATTAAATTTACATCTCATAAACTGTAAGCATTTGGTTGAAATCAGTGGGATTGCCAAAAGTATGTTAATATCTTGGAGTGGGAAACCCACTGGGTCTTAAAAAGCATTCCAATGGCATTTTGAAACTTGTATCATGTATTAAGTTACCAATTATATTTAATTGTAAGTTAATTCATAGAAAATATTACCGTGAATGAATACTTTGTCCGTGTCTCTAAGTCAGCTTCTTCAGCTTCGTTTGCAAACTAGAAAGCTTCATCATTTCAGTGAAGAATTTTTTCCTTTAATATATGCTTTATGTGCAAAAAGTGTTGCTTTCTACTTGCATCTCATCATATTTTGCACTCAAAAGACATACTTTTGCTTGTAACTTGAGTACAGATAAAAATAGCCCAAATTCTATTTACTTTCTAATTGGTAAATAAGTGAAAAGCATATTTTCTATGATATTGGGAGTATAACCTTTTGTTGCTAAACACCTAAGTCAGACAAAATGCAAAGTTTTGTAACAGCTCTGAGAAATACGAGTTAGAGAAGTTAATAAGAAAAACATTCTGTGATTCTAAAGCACTTCAAGGAGGCAGAGGTGATGTCAAAATTAAAAGTAAGGGACATAAAGCAATACTAAGAACAGGAGATCAATGACTTATTCTGTTAAATATCCATATGTTTTCCCCTGGATCAACTAGATCTTCCCTCCAATACAAGTGCTTGGAATAAGCCACCCTATTTTGAAGGGTGTGAGAGTTTAATTGGACAGATGTGACCAGTCTTTCCAGTTTTTTGGCCTCTGAGCTCCAGCTGCCCATAGTCACAGTCCATGGGCTTTGTTGTTTAGCAGAGCTGGAGCAGCATCCCTGCCTAAGGCTGGGCATTGTGGGTCACCCCCAGAGCAAGGTGAGAGGCTGGTGAAGAACTGGGGCCTTGCTGTAACACCTGGAAAATAATAGTTTTTCTTAACCACTTGTTCTCCTCAAGTACCAGCATTCTCCAGAGCACTCAGTGTTTTATATAAACTGGTTGCCTCAAGGCAAAGGGGTTTTGCTGAATATGAAAGGAACAGCAAACCCAACTGGCCTCTCCCCAAGAATAATTTAAAACTAAAATCAGCAGCCCCTCAAAACCAAACAAGGTAAGCTAATAATACACCTCTGTGGTAATGTGCCCATAAATTCCCTCGGAGTGGGAGGCTGGGAAAATTGCCAGAACAAGTAAATTCCACTCTAGTCACCTGCTTGCCTGCCAGAGGTAGGTGAGCAGAAACAAGCTAAATGTAACTCGTGTGACTGATTGCAGATACCTGAACTTTGTAGTGACCTGCTTGGTCGCTGGAGTGGTATTTTGAGCCTCCCAGGCAAGTCCAGGGAGTCCAGGGTCTGGTGGATGCTTCTTCAATTAGAATCAGATATTTGTAGAGTAACCTGAGTTGATCCACAAGGACCATCAGAGTCCTAGTCCTGGCCCTGCATAGGAAATATCAAGAATCACACTGTTAGAGAGGGCTCTAATTTCTGTTGGCATTTCTTATTACTTGTAATATAATCAAGACTTGCCTCAAAACAAATAAAACAAAACAAAAAAAAATCTTCCTGAAACAGGTCTTTCCCAGTTCTGCCCCAGCTCACACGAAAGATTTCATAGTGCTGGTCATCAAGCTTTGAGCAGGTTTTGGATTTTGACTCCCACACCTGACTGTAGAGATGATGGACTCAGTGTCCAATTCCCCTTTCAACCAAAGCACTCCAGTCAGAGCAGGCAAAGAGGAGCAGGGGAGTTTTCAGATTCACATAGACACAGGAACAGGCTAAGAGCAGCATCCCATCCCATTCTGCAGTTTGAAAATGAGCAATAGGCTTCCTGCAGGAAGGGCAGAAAAAATTCCTGTGAATACCTGTGGAGATATTCCATCAGGGCTACAGCAGGAAGTATGAGATGTAAAAAGCAGTTGATTCATAGAAATTTGGAAATTAAAAAAGAGAATAAATTTTATTATTTTAGTTCTAAAAATGAATGGGAGGGAAGGAAGGAAGGAAGGAAGGAAGGAAGGAAGGAAGGAAGGAAGGAAGGAAGGAAGGAAGGAAGGAAGGAAGGAACTTGAAAAAAAGCCAGCAAACACAGGAGAAACTTGTATTTTGTATTCAGAGAAATGAAAGCTCTGTAAAAAGAAAATTAATTCCTCATTCTCACCTTTTCAGAGATGATTCTGGCAGTGGTGTTCCTGTGTCTCACAGCTGTGCTGCCCCCATCCACTGGACAGGTAGAATACCTATCTCTTATTTGTAAAATTTGGGTGGGCCCTGAGGCACTCGTAGACCAACTGAATATGGCTTTTCCCATGCACACCAAACATATGCAGAAAGAGTCTGGAGATATTTAGGATCTGGAAAGCATTTATTCTTGAAGTAATAGATATAGGATCTGGAAAGTGTTTATTCTTGAAGTCTGCTTCATTTCAAAGCTGTTGTCTGGTTCCACATTTGCACAAAAAAAATCTAAAGATTCAGCATTACTTGTAAGTTGGGTCAGAGATAACTGTATTTTCCAGAAGTTTCCATACACAAATCCAATAATCTGGACCTCCTAAAGATCAAGCACTTTTCACATTAATTCCACATAGGTTTACAGATATAATTTACTTACTTCTCTTCCTTTCTTGTCGTACAGGTCCTGAGGTATTACCTTTCTCTTTGCTCACAGTCCCATCCACTCAGCCCATATCCCTCATTTCCCTCAAAGAGCTAAATTAACACCCTGAATGCACACGCAGAGTGGTTCCTCCCAATCCAAACTTAGTCTGAAGTTTGTTACTTCTGCATCAGAAACATTGGATGTGACCTATGGCTTGACTACATTTCCCCCTAATTCTTCAATTTCTCCTCTCAATGCTGCAGTCTAGACTAGTTGAGAATGGATGTAAAGAGGAGGCTGAGTTCCTCACATGGCTATTTTTTAATTAGAGAACATGTGAAAAGGATGAGAAATTTTATCAGTTGTGACAGAATTGGAAGAAAATCTATGGCATGAAAGGTATAAACATTTTCTGTTCAGTGGGATGTCCTGATGAAGTACCACGAGAGCCCTGAGATTAAACAACAGATTTCTTCAATAGAAAGACATTGATAAGGATGTTTAAAACTAGACAGAATAGAAACACATCATAAACACAATTCGTACATTCTGATGATTTTTAGATCCTCTTTCCACATGACCTCATTAAGAAATTATAATATTGGCAAATGAGTCTGGTTCTGTTGCCTAAATGTATGAGTCTACAGGCACAGAGGCATTCCAGGATATCTCAGTCCTCCACAAAGGGTTGGGAGATACAATACAGGAATCTGTGTTATTACTGCTGAGCTCTACACTGTGGGACCACTGAAATGTTGCTCCACATAGAAGCACCCCTGGAGACACTTAGGAGACAAAGAGGACCAAAGTCCTTCCTCCCCCACTGGGATTATCTCCTTGGTTGATATAAAATTTTGGTATTTTAATATTTCCTACACAGGATGCAGGGTTTAGTAACATTCAAATAAAACAGAAATACAGCTTTTTTTTTTTTTTTTAATTTAGGAAACTGCAGCTCTCAGTGCTCTGTCAAGCAGCAGAGCAGAGCAGCAAAAGTTGATTGTTGACAGACATAATGCCCTCAGGAGAGGAGTAAAACCAACTGCCAGCAACATGATGAAGATGGTAAGTTGTGTGCTGTAATTCTATTTTAATGAGTGGTGGACTCTATGAGAGATACAGGACTGTATGCAGGGTTACATTATTTTACTTAGCCACAAATTCCTTCTCCAGACCTCTCCTAAGGATTGAGCACAGCCAGCATCAAGAGAAACATAAGGCTGGGCAGGTGGAAGAAAAAAAACCTGGAAAGTTTGGTGGTGTATCAACAGTAACGTCTCTTTTGAAGTAAATTAAAAGGGGAAGAAAGATCCATAGCATAATTAATTTCTTTCTGATGCATTCTTCATCAGGCTTGTCAGTTTTTCTTCCCTTGGTGCACAGTAACTTTGCTCCTACCTCCCTCTCCCCTCAAAAAATGGGATGAAAAGGATTTTGCGTTTGACGTTTTTCTTATTTAAATGTAATTTCTAAATATTGTTCCTTTATGAGGGGTTATTCATGGGTATGTGACAGATATTTTCTTCTTTTGTTAAGGAATGGTGTCCTGCAGCTGCAGAGAATGCTCAAAATTGGGCCAATCAATGTACTTTAAGGCACAGTCCTCCTAATCTGAGGAGAACCAGTAAGTGCAGCATGAGTGGAACTGAACAACATCACACATTATTGATATGGCCAGTTTGGGGTTTTGCTTGTTGAGGAAAAATTAGATGAAATTTTAATTCCATATTGATTGTTTTTTTTGTGTTACAAAGGGAAATTTCTAGGTAGGAATCTGCCCAGTGAGTGAGAAAAATTCAATCCCATTCCCATCCCAGTTTTACATAGGTATATCCCATTTCTACAGCAGATGAAAAAATTAAATCATACTGATAAAGCATATTCTCCTAAAATATCCATCAGAAAAAAGAAAATCTAGAGATCTAGAGCCAGCTAAGTGCAGAAACCAGTTTACCTGTGCTGGTTTGAAATGTGTGGGAAGAAAGGGGCAAAAGGCAAAGGTGTAAAACTGGCTGGTGGTGTTAAGCATAGTTTCTCAGACGAGACTTAGAGTTTTTAAATCCCCTGGCAAATTGCAACCTAAAACTGTCTTTGAGGTTCAGATTAACACTTCAGTCAGTGGCTGGATATTGAATTTACAGCTGTACCATGTTAACAGCCCAGTGTGTTGTTGATTGACTTCTACCCACAGCATATCTTATTTACAGCTGTACCATGTTAACAGTTAATGTTGTTGATTGACTTCTACCCACAGCATATCTAAGATGTGGACAGTCCTGTCAATATTTTTTCTTAAAATCCAAATCCTCTGTTTTTTGCGAGGGTGAATCCCATTTGAGGTCCAATGCAGTGGGGTTAGACCTGAATAAAAGCAGTAGATAAGGGCAGTATAGGCATTTTCTTGTGTGCCATGCGTAAAATTTGGATTACTGGGATTTTCCCAAGATTACTGGGCTGTGACCTGGGTAATGATTGTGTTGGCAACTTCCAAATAGCAACATTACAGACATGAACCTGTGATGCACCTGTGCAGGTGTTCCTGCAGTCATGTAGAATGTCTGTAACAACCAACCACCAGCCAAACAGGCCATGCTGCAAACTGGCCAAGTGACACCTTCAGTATTTACAAAGGGTCATGTCACTCAACTGGAAAAAAAAAAACTACATCCTGCTGCCCCATTTAGAATGAGAATTTCTGTGGAAATCATCCCACCTTTTGCTGGTTTGTTTTGTTGGTTTTTTTTTTTTTTTTTTTCTCATGTGATTATTCTCTATGCATTTCTCAGCACCATTCTTTTTTCAGATGTACTATGTGGTGAAAATCTTTTCATGTCCTCTGCCCCGTCCTCATGGTCAGATGTTCTTCAGGCCTGGTACAATGAGGAGAAAAATTTTGAATATGGAATTGGGGCAAAACCAAAAGGTGCTATGTTTGGCCATTACACTCAGGTAGATGTATTTTTAATGTATATATATTTATATTTCAGGCTGAACAAATAGATGTTAGATAAGCAAGTTTTACCCTCTCATCTTTAAAGGAATCAAATACAATGGAGACATGAGAGTTATTCTGACAAAACAAGATGAAAACTTTCAAAGGAACAGAATTAGAATGAAAATAATAGGTAAAGTAACAAAATTAAAATGAAAATAATAGTCTAAGCGTATGCAGGAGTAAAGAGTAAAGATGCTGGTATTTTAAGACTTCAGGAAGAAACCACTTACATGTTTAACACCTGAGAATTGCCTAGATGCTGGAAAACAGGGTTATTAAAGTGTCAGCAAGGAAATATAAATAGGTTTGTTGCAGTCAACAGAGTTCTTTTGACTCAGAGGAGCTGGACAATGGTTTATCCTAAACTTCCACCGTACCTGCATAAAACACAGGATACAGAATTTTACATCATCATTCCTACATTAACAGTCTCAATTGAATGCAGGCATAAAAGCAAAATTAAAAATTTTATAAACATGTGTCTTGAATTATAATTGTTATATTCCCAATATTCTTTGGTTGAATAAGGGTGAAAGCAGATTTTCAGTAACATGGGGCTCATATTTTTACTATAAAGGGTAAATAAAGTGACTTAACATCATTGCACATTTCTGTGATGCATATTGTATTTAAATGACTTTTAAATGCGTATTTTTCATACTCTCATGATATTTATTCTTATACCTACAGATGGTTTGGCACAATTCTTATAAAGTTGGATGTGGTTTCTCTTTCTGCAGCAACACTACGTACAGTTACTTTTATGTCTGCCAGTACTGCCCCGCGTACGTATTGATTCTGATTTTGGTACATGTTACATTATCAAAATTAGTCAGGAGCTAGAGATATTTGTATCAGGGCACATCACCAATACCTGAGAAACAGGTTGGAAGACTGTATTAGGAATAGAAAGGACAGAAACACACTCATGAGAAGAGTTGTCAAACAAGGAAAGGTATAAAATATATAAAAGGGACACCAATTTTCAGATTAAATGTCACTTGCCTAAATATCCTAATTTTCATAATAGTTAATTAGAAATAAATATTTTGCACATTCTACTTGAAATGTCAGTTCAGAAAGGCATACCAGTATGTACAGTACAGTGAAGACTATAATTAATACCAAAATACTTTAACGGGAATGTTAAGGTAAAGTGATGATTTCATATAGTGCCTAAAATTAATTTCTACATTCACAATACCTTGTTGTGGGTTGAACTTGACTGACCCTCAGTAGCTCACTCATCCTCTCTGACTCTTCTCAACAGGATGGAGTAATTAAAAAATATGGCAAAAAGTTCATGAGTGAGGATGAGGTCAGGGGATTTCATTACCAATTACTGTCATGGAAAAAAGAGACTTGGGAAAATTAACTTCATTTGTGACTAATCAAATTAGACTAGGAAAATAAGAAGTAAAACCAAACCTAAAGTGCCTTCTACCAGCCATCACCTTCTTCCCAAGCTGGACTCCTGATTTTCTCTGCCACCTCTCCCTCAGCAGGACAATGGGATGGACTGGGGGCTCTGGTCAGTTCATCATGTGCCATTTCTGCCACTCCTTCCTCCCCTTGCTCTTCCCCCTCTCCATTGTGGGTCCTTCTCACTGGAGAGAGACCTCCATGAACTTCAGCACGGGTCCTTCCCACAGGCTGCAGTTCCTCCTAAACTGCTCCAGCATGGATTCCTTCCATGCTTTCATTCCCTCAGGGCTGGGCTGCTGCAATGTGTGTCCCCCACAGGGTCACAAGTCCAGTCAGGAGCCTGATCCAGTGAGGGCTTCCCATGGGATCACAGCCTCCTTCAGGCATCCTCCTGCTCCAGTGGGGGGTCCTCCACAGGTTGCAGGTGGATCTTTGCATCCCCATGGACATCCATGGGCTGCAGGGGCGCAGCTGCCTCTCCATGGGCTGCGCCAGGGAACCTCAGTTCAGGTGCCTGGGGCACCTCCTGCCTCTCCTTCTGCACTGGCCTGGGTGTCTGCAGAGTGATTTCTCTCACATATTCTCACTCCTTTCTTCTGGTTGCCGTTGCATGCAGAATTTATCCTCCATTGAATGTGTTACCACAGAGGCACAATCACCATCACATGGGTCCAACTTGGAGCTGGCCAGCACTGGCCCTGTCTGGAACAGAGAGAGTCTCTGGTGTCTTCTCAAAAAAGCCACCCCTGCAAATTCCTCCCCCTCTCTGCCCACTGCCAAAGCATTTCCAAATAAACCCAGCACACATGCAAAAAATTGACATAACCAAGGACCAAGCATAAATGTAACCTTAAGTTACATAGGTAACCTAATGTAAATCTAAACATCTTTATAATTTAGTTTTCCTCTCAGATAAGGTGTAGTGACTTCATGGCTGATGTTGGTAACATTGATGTTTCAGGGGAAACCTAATAAGATCAATGAAGACACCCTACAAGGAAGGAGAGCCCTGTGGGGATTGCCCCAGTGCTTGTGAGGATGGATTATGCAGTAAGTTCCAAGCATTTTAATTGTGACATGGGTAAAGTTGATGCTTAAAAAAACCCCTAAACAACAATTCATTTATGCAAACTGATTTAAAAAAAATATTTGCTGAAATACTAGGCCAAAAGCACTATCAAAGAATCACATTTCACCGTGCTGTCTGCTTTTCCTAGGTGAGATGACACTTTTCCATGCCCAGGAGAGATAAATCTCATCCTTGAACCTAAGAAATTCTAGGGAAGGAGGGGACTGCTTTGCTTTTTTTTTTTTTTTTTTTTTTTTTTCATCCTTTAAACAATGGTGGCAGTTCAAATGGAAGTAGCAACACACTTGATATGAGCAAGTGGCAAACCTGACTTTTTAGAATTCTGATAGGAAATAAAAACATATGGGCTGAGTCTCACAATGCAAGATTTAATTCATATCTTCTGTTATTGAATTAACCAAATTCTCATCACAGGCTGTAGCATAAAGAAAGCTTTAAAACACCTTTATGGATAAGTAAGAAATCTCCTTGAGAAAGCCACTTATTTTCTGTGTGTGCTCAAAGTAGTGGTTTGGATGGTGCTGGGGCATAAATGGCAACAGAGAAGAAAACATTAGAGAGGAAATATTGTTGTTGAAAAATTATTCTGAAAGGACATGATGCGGATTTTCACTTCCCACTCATGATTAATTTTGTGTTTCAAATAATTTTCAGCCAAGCCTTGAAAGTTTGAAGATGCTTTTTTCCAACATTGCTGGTAAAGTGTCCAGGATGTACCCAGAGCTTCATCAAGTCTGCTCCTGTGAATGCAAAACTGGGATAAAAGGACAGGCTCAATTTTTACCTTCTTGGACATCCATCTCCTTAATGAATTCTTCCACAAACATCCTGCCTCTCCAACATATGCAGAAGGACTGGCTTCAGTACACTGACTCACACAAGAAAGATCTGTAGGATGATGTAAATATTCTATTTATATAATGGTCTAGAGCATGGTAGAAATCTTAATTTAAAATTGTTGTTTGTTTGCCAGATATATTTAATTATTAGCTTTTCTCATCTTTCTTTTCCCAAAATATTATCAAATAAACATTTTTTAAAGGTCTGTGGTTCCATATGTTTGTTATGTTCTTGGCATAGATGGATAGTGCTTGGTCATGTAACTACTTTTAACTTGATTGAAAATTTAAACTATTGTACTGTTAACAGGACCAGAAGATAAACAGAATTGCTTGAAATATGTAATTCTTAAAAGAAATTAGGAGAGCAGACCAGTTTCCTGTAGATCTATTCTGGTTTAGAATCTGTTGCTGACATATGTTCTACTGTAAAATGCTCAGTTGTGAAAAAAACACAAAAATACCCCCAAAAAACCACACCAAATGTACTTAATTTAAAATAAAAATCCTGTTTATAGTGTAAGATTGCATTTAAATACAGGTAACCAAACTTGCCTTGTAAAGAAAAAAGACTTTCTGAGAAAAGGACTTAATTCAGAATAACAGATAGTCAAAAGGGGAAGGTCCCTGCATTTGGAAACTATTTTTCATAACAAGTAGACATGTGTTTCAATTTTTTATAATATGTTCTTTCGCTGTATCAGTCATTAAATTACTCATTCTTCACTGACCAGTTCATCATAATTTTCATTCTTTCTTATTACCATGAAATAAAATTCTCTAAACTTCACCAAAGTTGTGACTTTATTAGCATTAGGTGTTGAAGGGAGCCTAAATATTTAGCAGCATGAGGAGAATCAGGTTATGTGAGAAGATTTCCTAAGCAAGAACAGAAGTCAGGAAAGCAACCCTCCATCAGACTCCCCTTCAGAGAGAAATAACAATTTTCATAAATAACATGCAATCCCCACTCGGTGACCTCTGGGATACTGGTGGTTTTCTGTGCTGTTAACAATGGGGTTAAATATTATTTCAGTCTCACCTTAAAGAGGTTGCACATTCCAGTCCCATTTTAGTAAGGAAGTTGCTGTCATAATTAAGATTGCAAGTCCCAGAGCCCTTGGCACAGAATAATTTCATCACACATTTGACTCCTTCATTCCAGTGGCATTTCTTCTAGTGTGAAAGACAAGTTAAAAGTTCAATTTCACAACTCAAAGTGCTTATTATTTGGGTTGGGATTTTTCCTCATTCATCTCCACCACTTTTCCCCTCCATTGCACACTGCCCTCTCAGCTGGCGACGGCTCTAAAAGTAAATTAAGCAATGCCAGGGCAGAGGTGTGAGTGCTGGAACATGACTTATTACTCTCTGAAATAATTAGCATAAGTCCAAGTAAGAATGATTATGTTGCAATAATTAATCCAGTGTTGTTATCAATAAGGAAGTGGGCAGAACCATTACCCTCACTCACAAAAGACTCCTTTACCAAGAATAATGGGTCAAGAAATCATAACATCATTAAGGCTGGAAAACCCCTCTAAGAGCATCCAGTCCAAACATTTACCTGTCACTAAACCATCACTAAACCATGTCCCTAAGAACCAGAACTGCATATTTCTTGAGCACTTCCAGGGGTTACTCCAGCACTTCCCTGAGTAGCCTGTTCCAATGCTTGACAACACCTTCTGTGAAGAAATTTTTTGCCAATGTCCAATCTAAACCTCCTTGGCACAGCTTGAAGCATTTCTTGTCCTATTGTTTGTTACCTGGGAGCAGAGAGCGACTTCCTCGTGGCTACAACCTCTTTATAGGGAATTGTGGAGAACCAGAAAATCGTCCCTGAGCCTCCTTTTCTCCAGGCTGAGCCTCCCCAGCTCCCTCAGCTGCTCCTCATCAGATCTGTGCTCCAGACCCTTCCCCAGCTCCGTTGCCTCCTCTGGATACACTCCAGCCCCTCAATGTCTTTGCTATAGTGATTTCTGCAAGCCAAGCCACAAGAATTCATTCCTCAGTCATTCAAAAGAGGAAAAAAGTAGTGTAATAAGGTAAAAACCAACCATCACACATCTGACACAAGGCATAAAAGTCCATAAACCTAATTCAGATCTTCAGGAAGATAATGGAACAAAGTTTTTACCTGTCATTTTGTAACCACTAGGGTATTAAATATCAGCATGGATCCTTCATATACTGATCTTGCCGAAACAAACTCTCTTCAGTGAGTCACTCAGATGAGATGTTGTGATGGTTTAAGTAACAAACTGGGTGGTTCAGGTGAAAGTACTAAAACACTGCACATCCATGCAGCTGAACACACACATCCATGGATGCTCTGAGCTGGGAGAGGAGACAGAGACCTCTGACACCTCAGGGTCCTGGTGGATGACAAGATGTCCATGACCCATTGTGAGCCATGTGAGCAAGGAGTCCCAGTGAGGCACATCTGGGGTGCTGTGTCCAGTTCTGGGCTTGCTGGGACAAGAGAGACATGGAGCTCCTGGAGTGGGTTTGGTGGAGGGTGACAGTGATGGAGGGTCTGGAGCATCTCCCTGACAGGGAAAGGCTGAGGGAGCTGGGGCTGTTCAGCCTGGAGAGGAGACACAGATGAAAGGGGCCCTCAGCTCTGGGTGTCCCTGTGTGCAGGGAGGGCTCCGAGCAGGGCCCAGGCTCTGCTCCAGGGCCCAGCAGTGGCACCGGAGGAACGGGCAGGAGCTGATCAGTTCCACCTTGACAGGAGGAAGAACTTTCCTGTGCAGTGACCAAGCACTGAACAGATTGTCCAGAGAGGCTGTGGAGTCTCCCTCACTGGGGATATTCCAGAACTGTCTGGAAACACAATCTTGTGCTGTGTGCTCTAAGATCACTACTTTATGTGAAGCCCAGCTATTGACATTTCTAGGGCATGAGAAATATTCAGTGACTGACTATGATACCAAAGTGCTATGTTGCAATCAGTGCTGGTAAAAGATTTAAAAGTCATTATAATATTGCTAACATATTGCAAGGCAGTTTACCTTGTCCCTGACAGCTCCTGTCATCACTGAGATCCCCACAGCAGAGCAGCTTTCCTCCTAGCACACCCTGTTCCTGCTTCCTTCCACCTTTCAAGGAGATACCTTTGATACCCTGCCTACCTTTAGCAAGGATCTGGAGCAAACAAGGAGATGCCATGGGAAGGCCTGTGGAAAGGGATTATTTCGCATTCCCCCTTCACACCTACTCCTGAGGGAGCTTCTTGCAGAGAGCCGGCTGCTCTGGGACAGGGCCTGAATTATGTCCCACATGATGGACTTCCTGGTTCACTGTGGAAAAGTACACAAGATGGATAGGATAGGATAGGATAGGATAGGATAGGATAGGAATGGGATGGAATGGGATGGGATGGGATGGGATGGGATGGGATGGGATGGGATGGGATGGGATGGGATGGGATAAGATAGGATAGGACAGGATTAATTCAGTTAGAGGGGACCTACCTAGTGCAACTTCCTGACCAAAGATTAGTTTGGAATAAGTTCTTCTCTGAGTGCAAGAATCATCTCACTGGTGCAGTGGTTTAAGAGGAACATGGTGATGTGGACAGTTCAGCCAAGGCAGTGTCCTGTCTCTTGCCATTACAAAGAGAATGTCCCTTAATGGCAGCTGGAAAAATCCTGTGGCAGAAAGAACTGAATTTCTTCTTCCTCTAGATTTGATGTCCTTTATAATGACCTTAAAAAAATGGGACTGTTGCACTTGAAATATTAATCATCTGAGCAGAAAGGTGCTTCCTTTTCTCCTTGTATGGAGATAATTCTTATTGATTTTCCCTGCAATATATAGCCACAAATAAGCTTTTTAGACAAGTGTTATACAATGAAGAAATGAACATTGTACTAGCTCTAACTGGGCCATTTTCAGATGGATTTCCTGACTTTATGTCACTGTCCATCTGCTCTGCTCTAACAGATTGCTGAACATGTAAGAAAGATGAAATTTAAAATAAAAAAAAAAACAGAAATAATCTATAGATAGTTTTATATGTTTGTAGCTTATCATTCTATTATTTTGTAGCTGGAAAAGAAGTCATCAGGTTTCTCAGGAGATGCATGTCAAGATCATAGAGGGGCCTGAGAACATCTGATGCAAGAAATCCTCCAGAATCTGATGGTTTGCACCCTGAGATCCATCTGTGGCACCCACAATCCTCTGTTTGGCACCCAGGCTGCTCAACACAGTGATTTACGTGAGAGGAAAGTATCTCCAAATTAGATGCTAATTGCAACAAATGACTGAGCAAGAAGTGACCTATTTCAATTTAATAAGAATCAAAGTTTTAACCCTTCTCCTCCCTCCATGCTGGAGTATACACAAGGGTTAAAGATTTCCCTAGGCATGGCAGAGTGCTATCAGAGGCAGTTAGGACCACACATTTGGATTTAAGCAGCTGTATTTCTCCCTGAGCTGTCTGTAGGGATCCTTTAATCTCAGTCTCAGCCTGTCCACAAACCAGCACTCGCTGTAATATGTTAATAAAAACCCTCTTACTTTCTCAGCTTAAAGTGTCAGGCACTGCCTGTTTATTACTCTGCCTATAATGCATTTGCCAATAGTTTGCTGGGATTATCATTTAGTATCAAAAAATTGCTTTCAATTTTCCCATAAGTTTTGCTGTTATTGCTCACCGTGGAAGTGAAGTTACCTGAGGTGGGTTACACAGGTTGGAAGAGGAAGACCATCCCCAGTGCCACCGCATTTCCTCCTTACTGAACTGATCTCACTTCCTAACCTGGCAGAAAATGATCCACAGCCTGGCTGGTACTGAGACACCCAACCACAGAAAGAAATAATGCAGGACAATTCAGGACAATTCAGGACAAGAAAAATTTTTGTCAAGTTTTGCCAGAGTAGGTTTAGATTAGATATTGGGAAAAATTTATTGACTGAAAGAGTGATCAGGCATTGGAACAGACTGCCTAAGGAAATTATGAAATCACAAAAAATGTGAAGATGTGGTGCCATGGTTT